CCATTTGGCGTGAAAGTGTTCTTCACACCCCCAGAGACAAGAGAAAAGATCTACGCTGGAAAGTTCGCTCCAAAGCGCATACCAGGTATCTTCGCGGGGTACGTGATCACAACTGGACAACAATGGTCGAGGAAGTACAGAGTTTGGGACATGGCGGAATTCGCGAACGTGAACCTGTCCATGGACGCAACAGTGCCGCGTAAGCTTGCGCAACCTTACCTGACAGGAGTGGTGGTACTTCCGGACGAACTGGTGTGTCCGTTGAAGAACGAGTACGAGCGGAGCGCATGAGTGCAACGCTCGAAGGATTGAAGGACAATATCGATTTGCAAGCCAAAGAGGTCGAAGACCGTGGTGCAGTAGATCGACCGCCCGATGGAAGCAGTGATGACGATGACGACGATGATGACGAGTCGAGGAGGAAACCTCCGCCAGAACCAGACGCAGTCGGTGACGGCCTAGGGGTTGGAGAGGTCCCCCTGGACTACAAGGAAGCTCTTGACAAGATTGGGGACAAAAAGCTTGCGAAAGCCGCAGAACGAGAAGAATCACATGAAGGCGCATCGTCATCTACCGCCGTGCCAAAGACCAGTGGACCACGATCACTTGATGAAGTGGGGCCATCTGGTAGGCTTATTCCAAAAGGCGATGAAGAGGATCCAGGAGAAATCCTGCTTCGTCTCAAAGAGTCCAAGCTTGTGTCCGACGACATCGAACATTGGCGTGTTGGCGCCAGGGGCGATGGCAAGATCTATCTCAATGATGACGGTGAGGCGTGCAAGACTGACAAATGTGGCGTAGCTTACAGTACAAGGTTGGTAGCGATGGACGGCGTATTGTTCCTGCCCGACGACCTAAGCATATCTATTCACCAGAGGAGTGGGATCTATTGGGTGCCAAAGCCAGAGACAAAGCCTACAAGAAAGAGAAGAGGGAAAAGGCTAAGGCAGCCAAGAAGGATAGGAAGAGAGCCGCCGTGGGCAAGAAAGTCATGGAGAAACTGTCGGACAACATGATCTGTCCGAAAACTGTGCAGTGCGATAGGTTTGATCTGGAATTGGGAGATTCATGCACAGAAGGCTGGGAATGGGCGCAAGAGTTCGTTCAACAGCAACTGCAAGATGAATACCTCGAAGAGGTTGTACCGGTGGTACCAGCTTGCTCGGTGTTCAATGAAGTATTACAACCTCAAATCCATCATGGAAGCGGGCATAAAAGCTGGTAGGGATCTCGTTGGGAACCGCAGCATGTCCGGACGTTTGCACAGTCACTGGGGCGTATTCCCACCATGGGATTCGCGAAATCAAGGGACTCGGCATCGGTCAAGCGTGGAACGAAACACCCCTTTGATCGCGTTCTACGTTCCACTCATCGACATCGTTCGTGAAGGAGGCAAAGTTACAGAAAGCGGAATCGTCATTTGCAGCAAACCAGTCCCCTTTCGGCTCGTAAAAGAAGCCTGGCTTTGTTTGCCAGACGCCGCCCGAAATTTCGAGCAGGTGGAAAAGATCTTGGGCTACGAGTTGGAGGACGAGATTGTGAATATTTCAAGTCGCCCGTAGCACCATCCAATAAAACCTATCGAACACTTGAAAGGGTTGATGGGGTTATTGTGCGATATGGCACATGGACCACATGGAGGAACATCTTGCACGACTTGGAGAGTACTGCGATGTCTCATGGGGCAATTCTAACTGGGGCCGCTACGAAACGCTCTAGAAGGAAGCCACGGAGTTCCTCATCAAGCACGCTTTGCCCAGCAGTCAAGCAAGGACGAATCGTGACCATGAACTTCGTTACAGAATTTGTCCTTGGTGCCTTGAAAGCGTTCCTTCATGTCTATCCAGATGTGCGCAACGCTTTTCTGTTTTCGTATCATGCGGAAGACATCAGAGAGCCAACAATCAAGAGGAGACCCCTTTGGAGATACCTCAAGATGAATTAACCAAGCAGCCGAAGAAGCGGCAGCGGCGGTCAATGCAAATCCCGTGAATGACAACGACGAGGATGATCGACGAACACTTGCTGAGCCGGATGAGGAGCTTGACGCAGACGAAGTCATGATGGAACCCGCGCCGGAGATTGAGGATTGGGAAGAATCCGTCGAAGAAGTAAGCTCTCGACAACCGGTATTGGTCAACACGCGAGACTATGTATGCAAGTGCCTATATACGCTCATATTGAGTCAGCGTACGTCATCGATCCCAAGTTTGACCTAGCCCGCTACATGGCGTTCATCGTCATCAACTACATGCACAAGAACTGGAAAGAGAACGTGAAATGCTTAGATCTTCCACTGTCAAAGATGCACGAAATCTTCCGAACCCACAAAAGGTATGACGCTCTCGGAAGTTGGGGGCCAGATCTTTCTCGCATCGATGAAGAGACTGGCATCTCACAGGACGTTACGAACGACGAACTGCTCACTTATGCAAGAAGCATTTACGATGGTGATGATCCTGAAGGCATCACTTGCTCAACAAATTCAGAACGCTTATGAGAGGAGCTATTCATTTTGGTTGCAGAAGAGATCGCTTTGATCCAGCATTTCACATCCGCGAGAACCAGAATGAAGATGCACCACAAATGCATTCAAGCTGTTTTGCCATGCTATCAAAACTCGTATGCAAGATCGCAGGGTATCGACAATATTCATTGCTACAGACGAGGGACGACAACGTGCCTCCGAATGTGCTCTGCATTGATCCCTGATGATTGGCGTCAAACAGTGCACACAGCCAGTCTTGGCCGTGATGGTGGATCTGGACATACCTATGCAGTCAAAGTTTGTTGCCAAATTCACAGCAGGTAGACAGCATCGTCCTCAGACCAACAACAACCGTGCTCTTCATCATCTACCCAATAGATATCTTCCCGAAGGGCAACAAAGTGTTATGGACAGACCAGTCACCCGCACGGAAGCTGAGGAAGCCGACGAAGTTCGGGCAAGGGCGAAAGCCAAAACTCGAGCAAGGCATCCACCTGAGCCCTTGGGACCTCCTCCACAACGTGATCGATGGCAACGCCAAGGACGATACAGTCAATTGCCGGAAGACTCATCGTCAGGACCCCAGTACTATGAAGGCAACCGTCGATGGAACAACGATCAATGGGACGGGTGATCTTCTACGAGCGTTTTGCCGAGAACATCGATTACAATTTCACATGTTGGACATGGGTCAGTGCACCACTTTGCGTGCATATTTCTTTCATGTGTGAATCCTTTCATTTCTAACAGGGACAGGGGATCGCAGTCGACGTAGCTATGTTTCACGCAGCTCTTAATTGGGGAAGCTATACACGCACACAAGACCACTGCCAAATCGCCGTCGAGCTGCAATTCCTTTTCAGGTCCCGCGACTCTTTTCCTACCGTTGAGTAAAGCCTGAGGCTCAACTCATGGGGGGTGCGAAGAGACCTCGAAGCCTAGCACATTTCTGGGCATCGCATCATGAGCTATGTTGTACTACACAAGTCTGACACACTTGGGCAGCCTTGGCTACCAAGTTCAGACCGAAACCCGTAAACCGGCTCAAGACTCTCGAATTTGACTCTAGTTTAGAGTATAATTGAGTCTCAGATCCTTCAAACCATACAAAGTGTGCATGTCCCCCTCTGCACAGACAACTTCGGAACTCAGTGCTTGAGAGCGAGAAAAAGTTGCCGAGTTTGCCTGCAAGGGAGACGAGTGTCAATACCGTAAGTGGGCGATCACAACATCTTACAGTATACAGCTCGGTGAGGTGAGCATTCTGCGATAATACCAAACCCTCACGCAATCACCGGATTCAATCGAGTGTCCGAGTGTACGCATGCTTTTGTAAGCTTATCAATGTGCAATAGGATTGTGTGTGTGTGTAAATAACATGCGTACAGAGTTGGAGCGCTTGTCGGGCATGGATGCAGCAGTAAACTGGCCTCGGGGCCGTGCCGCGTCGCCGTTTGCTGTCAAGAGCACGGAGCAGAGCGAAGCCCTCGGGTCGTTTCTACGAGGCAGGCTGTTGCATGTTGAATCGATGGGTTCACTACAAACTCTAGGCTCCGAAGCTCTTGACCAGCTCTTTGTGAGGATGATATGTCCAAATCCAGGGATGCATTGTTCCAACCCCAGGCCGCAGACCACGTCTACGTAAGCATCCCTTGGAGGGACACGAAGGTTCGTTCATTGGCTCCTACACCCCAGCAAGCCCTGAGCCCAAGAAGTCTGTGACAGCAGTCATCTTCCAGCTTCAACAGGCCGTCTGTCCATTCTTCGTTTCTGCAAAACAGACAGGCGTGGTATTGGGCTTTTGGCTCTCGAATGCTCGAGGGCTCAGGGTTCACAACAAGGCATCGCCTGGGGCAAAGCTTTGGTGGAGCGATGGACTTTGCTACCAGATAGCATGTCAGTGAGTGACATAAAGCCGTCACGCTTTGATTGACGCGCGGAATTCTGGATTGAGCAGATGCGGTCCATGGGAGCATGCTGTGGTTCACTTGAGCATAATCTTTTTCTTTTATAGCAGTGCCTAATTGCTCTCTGGGCTTGCGAGCCGCCGGCGCACCACCGTGCAAGACAGCGTACGCCACCTTTTGGCCATGTTTCTTTTCCATCTTGCAATGCAAGCCGCCTTTTGGCCATCTTCTTGAAGCTTTCGCGGTGGTACGCTCTAGACCGGATGTGGCCAACATCTCCGAGATTGCCTGGATAACCAAGACGGAAGAGTACTTGGACGAACTCCACCGCGATAGGTGCAGCATCTGACATGCCAGATCCAGTCTTCCAAGCTTCGCTTTTCCCGAGCCTAGCTGAATGTTGGCCCTCACATCGTAGGCCCCTCGTCGATGGGAGCTCACTCGTAGAGGGGTCAGATATCGCGACCACTGGCACAACAGCAGGCCGAGGCAAGATGCTCGCTTGTAGCATGTGCGCGACGGGAAAGGCACGTTTGCACCTTTGGGCCGTGAGAGCCCGGGTATCTGCACCTGCGGTTTGCAGTCTGCGCTCGCTGCTGCGCCAGGTCGCCATCTCCAACCCAGCGCTCTTGGACCCAGATTTATGTCCACCCGGGAAGCTCATCCTCCACCTCTACGGGACAGCCGTTCAGTGATGAGGTGTTTTAAACAGCAGGGGCTCTTGAAGCAGCGCTGGCGCTATAGGGTAGGTGCCGCTCGAAGTTCGGACGACCAAGCGCCTCCTGGTCACGACAACTCTTCTGACGCTCTGAGTTTGCTAGCTCTGATGCTATCCTTTTCCGCCTTTCGCGCCGAGCCGATGTTGCCAAGCTCAGTGTCCGACGTTTGTCCAAAGTAGTGAGGTTCGGGCGGATACATTTTCGACTACAATCGCGTTCTTTCCACAGCATCTCATTGCAAATTCCAATATGTGGCCATCGCGAACTTCATTAGTCGCGCTCCTGCCATCTCCTCCCACTCTTGTCGTGAGTATTTTCGCTTGCCTTTGGGTGGAACTCGTGCTCCGACCAGTCCCGTGCTCATTTTCGCATTTTCGAAGCGCTCGAAGTCGCGTCCCAGCAGGGCCACACTCTTCGGCTCCCTTGGGGTGCTCTCGAATTCCGGCCGTTCTGCCGGGCCTAAGACGAAATTTGGAAATGGTGCTACCGTTTTGCTTGGTTCTTGGCCTTTCCATGCTAGCATAATGCGAGTGCATGCGAGTGCTGAGTTTGCTGGGCTTCTTGGCATCCCCACGGATCGTCGATCCGGCAGGGCTGGGAACGAGCCCTTCGACATTTGGCAAGAGACAGAGGACCGCACCTTTGAGTCTGTGCTGGGATTTGATGTGTACGATGCCGGGAAGGTAGCCTCGTTACGAACCTGTTGTGAGTGAAGTCGTTGGTTTTGGCTAGAGCATGCGTCGAGCGTTCACGGAATCTGCGCACACAAAAAACCGTTCCAAACTGAGGCCCAGGGCCGCGAAGCCTATGAGGAGCAGACCTTCCCGCCTCCAATTTCTCTGCGACAGCTTTCAGCCATGTGACGTGCGTGCCCGTTCGAAATGAGAGTAGACGCGGTGTGCAGAGGCGCTCAAGGAGGAGAGGTCCAAAAGGCTCTGGGAAGCGCTGGAGGCACCGGCACGGCAGTGAGATGTCTTTGAGAGGCCCAGCCACCCAGGCTGTGATTCTCCCTAGCATACAGTAGTAATAGTAGTAGTAGTAG